AAACATTCACTTCTTCCATACTCCTCCTCCCCAATTTGATATCCAATTTTTCTTTATCTAAATCATTTGATACCCTCATCACCTTACTCTTTTCTATGTTCACTTTCAACTTTCTACCTTTACAGACACTCCCAAACTCTTCCACTAACCTTTGCAATTTTTCTTTAGAATCTCCCATAAGCACAGTATCATCAGCAAAAAGCAACTGTGTCAATTCCCATTTTGTATTTGATTCCCCATAATTATTTGTAATTTTTATTCACACAAAAAATTAGAAGATTTACTGTTATGCAGACTACTGCATTATTTTAATAATTGTATAAATAATGTCAACCCATTCATGACTGCATATTGGAATGGACAGTGACGTCATTTGTTTACTCTTGAACGTTGCCAAAGAATTGAACATTTCTGCTACTTTGAGCTCAATTTCAAGGTATGTACTTTTCGTCATGAAACCAGTCAAAATCATATCTATTTTTGTAATATATCTTCCATTCTATCAAAAGATACCAAAAAACGAGAATACAACCATAAAAACCATATGAAAAAATCACTAAGGGGCAGCTAATGGCCGAGAAGTGAATTCCATTATTTATGGTCCGATTTCTTTCATTTTTGGTGTACGTTAAGAAGCATCTTTCTATCATACATTACCCAAATTTCAGTAAGATAGTCCAACAAACAAATGAGATTCAATTCCCTAGATCAAGAGCAAGAGCCCCTCACCAGTGTCAAGGAACCTCCCTTGAGGCTCGCTCGCTTATGGAATTTCACTTGCGTGTGGAAGCAAAAAAGCAACCGAGCGATTTCTCATATTTGGAAAAACTTGCATGTGGATGCACTTGCAAGTGGAGGTTCCACTGTACTTAGATATATTATTCTTATAGGTGTGGGGCATCAGCAAATAAGAGATACAGCTCTGCAATAGCTGTAATTTCAGTGAAACGTAAGAGTTGGAGACTGTGTCCTTGTAATAGTTGTTTGTTTGGGCAACAATAATAATCATCAATATGTTATTGAAGAATAACTGAAAGTAGGGAAGCTCAGTGGAATCATCAGTTATTGGACAGTTCTGCTAAATTCCACACCCTGTTAGTCTGGGTATACAGTATTTGCCATTGGTGTCCCAGCTATTGGTAGTGTCACTACTGATGGCTGGTGTCACAGCTTGTGCTACTGTCATGGCTGCTGATGTCACTGGTGGTGGTTGTCCCTGGTGTTTGTGCTGGCATGGCTGGTGCTATCTTAGCTGTTGTCACAGCTGGTGTTGGTGCTGCATGTGGCTTTTCTTATTTTTGATACCATTGAAAGCAACATCAGTATTACAATCATTATCACTGTGTCCTGCAACAGTATCATCCTATCTAGATGTGTTACCATAGAGTATTATAACAGCATATGATTGAAAGCCAGACCAAGTGCAACACCAGGGTGGTGTTCATTTCATGGGTGAATGTTCTGCATCAGTATCACTCGATTTTATGCTTTCCTCCTTACACATGTATTCTGCTCCACCGTCATCACCCACATTACTAATCACTGTCCAGTTCAGGGGTAAAAGGCCATTGGTGTCAATTTTGTTGTGTGGCAAAACCAGAGGTGGGTGGCACATCTATATTTTGTTGAACTAGCACTTTTTTTTTTTCCTGGTGTTATCACCACCATGGTCCCCTTCACAACTGTAAAATGTCGCTGGTGTCTGGAATGAACATTGTTTCCAGGATTTTACTGCAGAAAGGTTGGTGTGTTGGCCAGCCATTGTGAGCCTGTGTTTCCTGGGTGATATTACCTCACAATGCCCCATGCATATCCATGTGGCCTGCAATTTTTTCTTAAGATTCACAAGGTAGATAGCGACACAAACACAGGTGAGGTCTAAAATGGCGGTGAGTGGCACATTTAAGGCCAAGAAAAATTGTACGTACTAGTAACCACATTACCATTATTGGCATACTAGTACATTGGACACACTTTTTTTTTTTTTCAACAAGTCGGCCATCTCCCACCGAGGCAGGGTGACCCAAAAAGAAAGAAAATCCCCCCCCTCCAAAAAAAAAAAATTACTTTCATCATCATTCAACACTTTCACCTCACTCACACATAATCACTGTTTTTGCGGAGGTGCCCAGAATACAACAGTTTAGAAGTATATACGTATAAAAATACACTATATATCCCACCGAACTGCCAATATCCCAAACCCCTCCTTTAGAGTGCAGGCATTGTACTTCCCATTTCCAGGACTCGAGTCCGGTTATATGAAATAACCGGTTTCCCTGAATCCCTTCACTAAATATTACCCTGCTCACACTCCAACAGCTCGTCAGGTCCCAAATACCATTTGTCTCCATTCACTCCTATCTAACATGCTCACGCACGCTTGCTGAAAGTCCAAACCCCTCGCCCACAACACCTCCTTTACCCCCCCCCCCCCCCAATCTTTTCGAGGACGACCCCTACCCCGCCTTCCTTCTACAGATTTATACGCTCTCCATGTCATTCTACTTTGATCCATTCTCTCTAAATGACCAAACCACTTCAACAAACCCTCTCCAGCCCTCTGACTAATGCTTTTATTAACTCCACACCTTCTCCTAATTTCCACACTCCGAATTTTCTGCATAATATTTACACCACACATTGCCCTTAGACAGGACGTCTTCACTGCCTCCAACCACCTCCTCGCTGCAGCATTTACAACCCAAGCTTCACACCCATATAAGAGTGTTGGTACTACTATACTTCCATACATTCCCTTCTTTGCCTCCACAGATAACATTTTTTGCCTCCGCATATACCTCAATGCACCACTCACCTTTTTTTCTTCATCAATTCTGTGATTAACCTCATCCTTCATAAATCCATCCGCTGACACGTCAATTCCCAAATATCTGAAAACATTCACTTCTTCCATACTCCTCTTCCCCAATTTGATATCCAATTTTTCTTTATCTAAATCATTTGATATCCTCATCACCTTACTCTTTTCTATGTTCACTTTCAACTTTCTACCTTTACACACACACCCAAATTTGTCCACTAACCTTTGCAATTTTTCTTTAGAATCTACCATAAGCACAGTATCATCAGCAAAAAGTAACTGTGGACACAGTTAAAAGGCTAAAAATAAAAATAAAATTGTCTTGGTACATAAATTTGAATTAATTTCTCTTGCATAAATTAGTATTAGACTACTTTCCACTTAAGTAGTAATATACACACATATGACAGTGAATTGTGGTTAGCACAAGTTGAAAGATGATTTTTTGATGGAAAATGTAGCTAATTAAATCAGTGTAAGTTGTTTAAATAATAAAAATTCACCACAGTGATTAAAGCAACTGAAAAAATTGTGTAGCTGCAGAGAGGAGGTAAAATTCTTGAAGGGATTAACTGTATAGACTGTCAATAATTATTAGATAAGTCACAATAGGGATTTCTTAATTTTTTTGTGTGTTAATTGTTAATTATATTCAGTATTCTCAATACCTTAACCCTTAACCTGTAAACGGTCCAAACGTATATATACGTTTTTTCAACATTCGAAAGTATGTAAAAAAAGTAGATCTTCTTTTTGTTTTTTTACATTTGAAAATGTGTATAAAAAACTTTGATCTACTTTTTTTTTTTGTTATATTTGAAAATATGTAAAAAAAAAAGTAGATCTACTTTTGTAGCACTACACATGTGAACGTAGATCTGCTTGGACTGTTTATGGGTTAAACTGTCCAAACGTAGATCTGCGTTTTTTTAACATTTGAAAGTATGTAAAAAAAGTAGATCTTTTTTTTTTTATGTTTGAAAACGTGTAAAAAACTTGGATCTACTTTTTTTTTGTTATACTATTTGAAAATATGTAAAAAAACGTAGATCTACTTTTGGAGCACTACGCATGTGAACGTAGATCTGCTTGGACAGGGTTAAAGAAGTATATTGTCTTGAACTTAGAACTTTTAAATGTGTTCATAAAACATCACTTTATATTGAAGTTTTTTTTTTTTTTATTTAGCTTCCTAGTCACCATTTATGGAACCAGTTCTGTTTTTAATTGGGAGGTTCCTGCTCCAGAAACTGAGTGATAATGAATATTAAAAAAAGCCTATTACACATTACCCCATATAATGCTTTGGCTAGTCTTGGCAGAAATTGCAGGCTCAGAAATTTTTTATAGTAATTTTTTTTTTTTTTCAACAAGTTGGTCGTCTCCCACCGAGGCAGGGTGACCCAAAAAAAAAGAAAGAAAATCCCCAAAAAGAAAATACTTTCATCATCATTCAACACTTTCACCACACTCACACATTATCACTGCTTTTGCAGAGGTGCTCAGAACACAACAGTTTAGAAGCATATACGTATAAAGATACACAACATATCCCTCCAAACTGCCAATATCCCAAACCACTCCTTTGAAGTACAATGCCTGCACTTTAAAGGAGGGGGTTTGGGATATTGGCAGTTTGGAGGGATATGTTGTGTATCTTTATACGTATATGCTTCTAAACTGTTGTGTTCTGAGCACCTCTGCAAAAGCAGTGATAATGTGTGAGTGTGGTGAAAGTGTTGAATGATGATGAAAGTATTTTCTTTTTGGGGATTTTCTTTCTTTTTTTTTGGGTCACCCTGCCTCGGTGGGAGACGACCAACTTGTTGAAAAAAAAAAAAAATTACTATAAAAAATTTCTGAGCCTGCAATTTCTGCCAAGACTAGCCAAAGCATTATATGGGGTAATGTGAATAGGCTTTTTTTAATATTCATTATCACTCAGTTTTTTATTATTATTAATACTACTACACTTTCTTCAAGCTACCTGTAGAATGGTTTAAGCCTAAAAATTTACAAACTCCTCACTTCATGCAGTGGGAACTTTGAAAATGTGTTCTTTTATATTTAGATAATACTTTCTTATACAGGCTATTTCTCATCAAATTATGCTGTCTTCTAGACTCTAATTAACATTCATTTTTATATATCAAACTATTCAATTTTATGCTTTCAGACATATGTATGTAGCCAGCAGCTGGAGTCTGTGTGTTGGCACACAGATGCTGCACATTTTACTACCTCTCACAATGATGGCAGCTACATGGTCTGGTCAGCTACAGATTCTGCTCAGCCTACTGATGGACCCCACACTGTGTATGGGCCTTTTCCCTGCAAGCCAATCACTAAAATTTTAAGGCCTGCTGGAAAGGAGTGAGTGTATAAGTTTTATGTGTGATACATTGTTTTTATTTTTTTGAAAGTTTTGGTAGTGTGTGCACATTTTTCACTGGTCATTTATTTTCAGTTTTATATTGAAATGCAGTATTAAGAAAGTTAAAATCCTTTAGATATGGGGCACAAAAGATTTTTTGCAAATTTACTTTTTTTTTTATTCATTTAATTTTTATAATATATTTGCATTATGATAATCTGCTTCATAGCTTTTTGATAATACTTCTTTGAATGTGCTGCAAAGTTGCATTCTATTGTGATGAATGGTTTTGAGTATTTTTAGTTCCTTTATTTCTTAGATTCTCTTGTATTAAAGTGTGTGATAACTTGTAAATCAAAATTTCTGTTAATGGTAATCAGCTCTCAATTATAAATCAAGGTCATTAGAAGATTAATTATACGTACATTATTGTACCCATGATATTTTTTGCAATGTGTAAACTTAATGAGTTCCTCTTGTCTAATTGATATTACTTTTCTATTGCCTTGTTCTTATTTCAGTCTCATTATTGTTAACAGAGGTGACTTCATTGTGTTTAGTGGTGGTATGCCAAGAGCCAGCTATGGTGACCGCAACACTGTGACTGCCATCCTTGGTGATAATCATGTTACTTTTAACCTTACCTCCAAAGTTATAGACTTTGTTGTTGTTAAGGATAGTGATGCAGGTGAGTTTTATTTCACAGCAGACTCTTGTTAAAACATTGTCAATATATTTTGTCAGTATATTAATGCTTGTAATCTTGCCAATGTTTAGACTGTGTATAATACTTTGTCATCAATCATTCTGATAAATACTATTTAGTATTTTTTTTATTGTGGGTTATTACAGAAAAATTTAATTACATTTTCATTGCCTCTTTAATGTTACAGTGCAGCAAACATGTTTAATTTGTCAATTTGAAATGAAAATTAGTTGTGCCAAGTACAGTGTTAGTATGAATTTGGTAGATTATTAGTGAGGAAAATAAATAGATAATAAAATTATACATGTATGGTTATTATTCTCAAACATTTGTATCAGGACATGCAAGCTGCTTAGCAATTTTAGCTGAGGAGGAGGCTGTGTTTATAGACTTAGAAACAGAAGATTGGCCTGCATTTGCTGCACCATACTTGGCCTCTCTTCACTCATCAGCCATCACCTGTTCTGTACTGGCATCTTCAGTAGCCTTGGAGGTTTATGATAAAATAAAGGTAAAAAGTTTTTTTCATTTTTGTCTTGTTAAGAATATCATTGAAGAAAAATGGATTTTTTTTATTTGGAATTATCCCACTTTCATGGAAGGCATTAGAAATATTAGCTTTTCCATAGCATTTTCCTTGGTGCTTATCTTAGTACAATAGGGCCACAGCTTAGAACATTAATTGTTCATTACTTGTGACCTATTTTCTCATAATCACTCATAATCAGGTACATTTCCCAACTATAATATTTCATGTTGAATTTTGTTTATTTTTCACCAGTGGAATTAGTAGCAATGTACAGTACTCAGATTAGTCCCTCTTTCTTCCCTTTCTTTCATTTTTCTCCCCATTTCCTCTGTTCTACTCTTCTCCCTTTACTCAACCCCCTTCCTTCTCTTCCCTGTCTCCTACTATTCCCTTCTCATCTTCCCCCCTCTTTTCTTCTCCCTTCTCTCCTACTCCCTCCCTTCTCTCCTGTTCTCTTTCCTCTCTCTTATTCTCTTCCCATCTCCTTTTTTTTTTTTTTTTTTTTTTTTACACAGGGTTTGACAAGGTTAAGGATCCCTAGCTTTATTGACAGCTATTTACAGGTTAAGGATTCCTAACTTTATTGGCAAGCTAAGAGCTGTTACCTACATCAGCTCATTTGAAAGCATTTTTATTGTTATGAGACATACAAGTACGGGACAGGATGAAGTTGGAGCCATCTGTGGGCCAGCATTTTCATTTGATCAACTGACTTTATCTCGTTGACATCATTATGCTGTTCGAATGTGTTCCATACTCGAGTCATCCTGGGTATGTATGATCTCAGATGGAGTGATGTTCTGGAGAAGGGTACAGCCAGAGTGAAGTTGCTGCTTTCTGCCCGTCTTGTGGCATAAAAGCTTGTTTCACGCTGTCCTCGAAGTGGATCCAAGTGTGGTATTTTGACAATATTGGCCTTGTACATAACAGTAAGGCCACCCACATCCCTCCTATGTTGAAGGCTCTGCTGAAATGACAGATCTATCCAGGATGGGTCCAGGCGAGAGATGAGACGTCTTGCTCTGTTCTCTACTCTGTCAAGCAGTCGCAGATGAGAGGGAGGGGCAGGCAAACCAAGAAAGTGGAGCATATTCAAGGTGTGAGCGTACTTGTGCCTCGTACAGGATCTTGCAACCCCTACTGTCAAGCAGATGCGAGATACGGCGAAGTGCTGTAAGCTTCCTGGCTGCCTTGTTTGCAAGATTTACAACATGGTTCTTCATGGTTAGTTTGGAGTCAAATTTCACCCCAAGGATATCAACTTCTTCTCCAGGTGCCAACACCCTCCCATTCATCCTTACTACTGCACCAGCATTACCATCATGGTGCCTAGAGACGATCATCATTTGCGTTTTCTCAGGTGCAAATGTTACTTGCCATCTATTTCCCCAAGCTGATATAGCTCTCAGCTGGTGATTGATGTAGCTTAGAGCAGCTGGCATTTCTTCTCTTGGATAAGTGAATGTCAGTGTACAGTCGTCTGCATGTGCATGTGATTCTGGGATGAGATGAAGAAGGTCGTTGAAGTAGACATTCCATAACAGTGGACCCAGCACGCTTCCTTGTGGAACGCTTGCCCCAATAGGATGCCTTGCTGATTCCGTTCCATTGAGGACTACACTTAGAGATCTACCATGAAGGTAATCACTGAGGAGACATAGCGTAGAGCCGGCAATTCCCAGTGCTTGAAGTTTTGCTAAGAGGCCCTGGTGCCACACCCGGTCGAAAGCGCCAGCAATGTCCAGTGCTACCACACAGCTGACTTTGGATTCATCCAGTGACTGGTGCCACTTAGTGGAGAGGTTTAACAACAGATCAGCAGCAGAGTAACCTTTCCTGAAGCCATATTGACGATCACAAAGTAGTGAGTGGTAGTCAAAAAACTCTGTCATTTGTCTTGAGATTATTGTCTCAAGGATCTTACCAGTGATTGACAGGAGTGACACTGGTCTGTAGTTGCTGATTTCTGCTCTGCTCTTCTTTTTGTGAACAGGGACTACATTTGCCTCTTTCCATAGAGAGGGCCATTTACACTCTCTCTCTCTGTCTCTCTCTGTCTCTCTCTCTCTGTCTCTCTCTCCCTGTCTCCCTCTGTCTCTCTCTCTCTCTCTGTCTCTCTCTCTCTGGTCTCTCTCTCTCTTCTTCTCTCTCTCTCTCTCTCTCTCGTCTCTGTCTCTCTCTCTGTCTCTCTGTCTGTGTCTCTGTCTCTGTCTCTCTGTATCTCTGTCTCTCTCTATCTCTGTCTCTGTCTCTGTCTGTCTTTGTCTCTCTCTCTGTCTCTCTCTCTGTCTCTCTTTTTTCATATTTTTATTTTTGTTGTTATAATGTTTATCTATATTGTTAATACTGTTCTTGCTGTTAAACAGTGGTTTAGTGCTGAAGGGGTAGCGTAGGTTGCAGAGATACGGCCGTAGACTAGTTTGGCTTTAATTGAAAAGGAGTGAGTACACAACGGGTAAAGTGAGGGGATGACCGATAGCCAGTCCGTGGAGGGGAGGTTGTTGAACCCGTAAGGGTAGGCCGTGTAGTGAGACCGGGTAGGTTCTGCATCTCACTGACCTGGGCAGGCTTAGAGAGGGCAACACTACAGTACTGTGGGATATGAATCTAGCAGACAGTACATGCTGTTTACAATATTTGGTCATGCACAGGTTGTAATTTTAACCCTTTCACTGTCAGTCCCATAATATTACGGCCAAAATTCTAGCGACTTCCAGTCTTGCAGGAGGTAGCTGGTAGGCCTACATATGAAAGAATAGGTCTGAGTGGTCAGTGTGCGCAGTATACAAAAAATCCTGCAGCACGCAGTGCATAATGAGAAAAAAAAATGCGACCATGTTTTTGGTTTAAAACAGTGACTTTGCGGTGTATTTTTGTATGGTATTTATGTTGTATTCTCATTTGATAGAATGGAAGATATATTACAGAAATAATAGAGATGATTTTGAATGGTTTACAGACTAAAAGTACTTCAACCCTTCCTCAGAGGGCTGAGGAAGGGTTGTTGAGGTGGTTCGGACATGTAGAGAGGATAGAACAAAATAGAATGACTTCGAGAGTGTATAAATCTGTAGTGGAGGGAAGGTGGGGTAGGGGTTGGCCTAGGAAAAGTTGGAGGGAGGGGGTAAACGAGGTCTTGTGTGCGAGGGCCTTTGACTTCCAGCAATCGTGCTTGAGCGTATTTGATAGGAGTGAATGGAGATAAATGGTTTTTAGGACTTGACATGCTGTTGGAGTGTGAGCAGGATAACATTTATGGAGGGATTCAGGAAACCGGCAAGGCGGACTTGAGTCCTGGAGATGGGAAATACAGTGTCTGCACTCTGAAGAAGGGGTGTTAATGTTGCAATTTTATAACTGTAGTGTAAGCACACCTCTGGCAAGACAGTGATGGAGTAAATGATGGAGTAAATTGGTGGGAAGTGGCCGATGTGTTAATAAAAATAAAATAAGTACTTTTGAAATTAAGCTCAAAGTAGCAGAAATGTTCGATTTTGGAGATGTTCACGAGTAAAAAATCACGTCACTCGTCCAGTACACATCAACTGGTGAATCTGAAGTGCTTTCACAAATGTGCTGATATTATTTATACCATTTTTACAATAATGCAGTAGTCTGCATAACAGTAAATCTTCTATTTTTTGTGTGAATATAAATTCAAAATGGAAAGCAAGCATAATGTAAGAGGGGCCTAGAGATGTGACTAATGAACAGAGAAAAATGTTATTTTAGTGCTAGGAATGTTTGCATTGTTATTTCTGGACCCTATTTTGAAACTGGCCTTTCTTGAATTTTGTATGAAATGGGCCAAATTACCATTTTCTGATCACTTTATTGGGTAGTTGAAATTGGTAATGGGCAGTTTATTGTACTGATTTGATAGAACAAAAGGAGTTCTAGCAAAATGGCTATGAATATAGTCGCCTGGAACAGTGGAATTGGCCCAAAATAGGCCTCAAAATGAGCGAAATCGCCAATGCATAAATATCGTCGAGACCTCTAACTTCGGGAGAGTGTAATTCCATAAGTTTTCCAGCAATTTTCGTACTTTTGGTTTCATTACCATTGGGAAAAGATGTTTGCGAGCAGTGGTCTTGACAGTGAAAGAGTTATCATTTCATCAACCTTATTTCTAGAAGTTGTTTTAAAGGTTGCTAGTACAGAATACCAGTTTCTCATAACTGCATTTGCATGTTCTTCCAATGACAGTCTTTTGTTTCTAGTTGCTTCTAGATTCCTTTCTCTATGTGTGACTTTTTTTTATCACAGTTTGTATTTTTTGTTTACTGGTATCATGGTTTAGCTTTCTCTCATTTCCAGTATGTGAATTTTTTTTTATATAGTATTTCATTGGCTGTCTCCCACCAAGGTAGGGTGACCCCCCTCCCCCCCCCCAAAAAAAAAGGAAAGACATTCACCGTAATTCACTCAATCCTTTTTTTTTTTTTTTTTTTAAACCTCAATGGCCATCTCCTGCCAAGGCAGGGTGATCCAAAGAAGAAAACCCGTTCATCCTTATTCAGTCAATTACCGTCTGCCCAGAAGTGTGCTGACATCAGAATTCAGATTACTGTCCAACTGCAATGTTTACCTGCAATAAACTCCATCACTCCATTTTCTCAGTCTGTGTAAGCAGATACAAGTAATTTATATAATTAATAACATCAGCACAAGAACTGACCTTTGTGGGACCCCACTGAGGACATTACCCTGTGAGGAGTTTCTATTTTATCACTGCATGTTTCTTATAGAAATTACAATTTAATTTGCTCAGATTCCAAGAGGAGTCGTGCATTAGAAACTTCTTTTTTTTTATGTACTAAAATCTTTCTTCTTTCAACGCACTGACTGTAGCCCACCGAAGCTAGGTGGCCTTGAAAGAAAAACACAAGTTTCTCATTTTAACTTTAGTAATGAATACAGGAGAAGGGGTTACTAGCCTCTTGCTCCCAATACTAATACCTATACTATTTATATTCTCAGAAATTTGACTTTGTTCTCAGGAAGCTGGATCCAAGCAGCAGTCAGGTCTGTCCACAAGGCCCTGGCCCATCAATGGAGGGAAAATAAAAAATACAGATTCCCCTAAACAGAGAGATGTGTTGTTGACTGGGCATGAAGATGGTTAGTTTGTGTGAAAGTTAAGTCTTGTCCTTCTTAAATAACTTTCTTAGATTACCTTACAAGATTAGTGAACATCCAAAGTGAGTGAAATTGCTTTAAGTAAATGCTATGTATCTTTGTAACTGAAATAGAATTGTAAGAACATTTTTCTAATTACCTATTTTAAGTTTGAGGTTGGTGAGAACCAGCTCTCTGTACCAAATATCTGATTTCTAGAAATTTACATCAAGTTAGCTGTACTCAGTTTCTCCTTCAGATTGAGGATGTAATCTCAACCCGCTTAACAAGCTTCCGTTTTCAGGTACGGTACAGTTTTGGGATGCCTCTGGAGTTTCTCTGACACTATTATACAAGTTATCAACGTCTCGACTTTTTCTGTCAGAGGATCTTGGAGGTGATGGAGCATCAGCAGAAGATGATGACTGGCCTCCATTCAGGAAGGCACGTTTTACATGCAGCTGAGTTGTTGTTGGTGTTGTCAAGTTAGCTCTGAGAGAGATTTGAAAAGGATCATCTTGGTAATTAGGTTATTGTCACTGAGTACTTAGGTGAGTACTTATTCCTTACACCAGGGTCACACTGAAAGGCATGTGTTAATTTGTTACTTCCATTTCTTAATCCTCAGCACTTAGAAAATTTCAAATTCTAGAATTAAATATGTCTAACAAGAAACAAGTGAATCTCTTCTGTGATGATAAACATTCAGCTACAGATACTGTAAATAAATCTATCTGAGAAAGTCCAAAGGAGTGTATTAGTGCTAGTGTCTTGAGAAAAATGAATAATGGAGAAAGAATGCAAGCATCAGACCTCACATCTTTGAATAAGCAGAATGCAAAAGAGAATGAGATTATGACTTGTAAAATGGGGGGCGAGCCAGAACATCAGTATCGGTAGGTATTGGCTAATTTTAATGGTATTGGTACTGGTGAGTGTCAGCTAATTTTGATGGTATTGGTGGGTAGTGGATAATCTTGATGGTATCAGTATCAGCAAAAATTTTGGCATTGTCCCATTCTTATATAAAATACTTCCATGGATAGACAAGAAGGGGCTCTTTACCACTGAATGTTTAAAAATTACATATTAAGCAATTCTTCAGGATGAATGTTACAAATGATGTAAATGACCTGAATGATTATGCTCTATTTTTTAACACACACATTGTCTCCCTCTGAGTTAGGGTGACTCAGAAAAGAAAGAGGAAAAGCATTCACTGTTATTCATTCAGTTGCTGTCTTGCTGAAAGCTGCTGACATCACAGTTCAGATGGCTCTCTGAACTGCAGCATCCTCACCCCTCAGAGTACAGGCACTGTACTTCCCACCTCCGGGACTCTAAATCTGGCTAACTGATTTCCATGAATCTCTCTATAAATATTACCTTTCTTACACTTAAAGAGCATATCAGGTCACAAAAATCCACTTGCCTCCACCCTAATCTAACATGCTCACTCAAGCCTATTGGATGTTTAAGCCCCTAGCACTGAAAGCCTCCTTCATCCACTCCCTTCCAGCCTTTCCTGGGGTGACTCCAAACCCTTTCTTTTCCCTGCCCCACATTTATATACCCTCCTAGTCATCATATTTTGATATACTCTCTCAAGTGCTCAAACCATCTCAACAGCCCCTCCTCAGCCCTCTGAATTATACTTCTGGTAATCCTATGCCTAATCTCCACACCTGGATTCTCTGCATAATATTTACAACACACATTGCCCTCAAACATGATGTTTCCACTGCCTCCAGCCTTCTTGCTGCAATGTTTAAAACCTGTGGTTACACAAGGATACAGCTTCCATATAAAGGGTTCAAAACAAGGTAGGATAAAGCTACTTCATGTCAGCAGGTCAATAGATATGAAATGAGACCAAGAGTTAGTTCTTCTGGCAGTAGCACTCACCCTCCCACTATACCTCCAACCATCTCTCCCACCATCCCACCCTCCCTCCCTGCTGCCGTCCCTCCCTCCCTCCCAACTAATGTATTCTCAGTAAGAAATTACAAATTAAAATTATGACCTTGGTGTTACCTATTCGGCAAACCCTCATGATTAAGTCACCACGTCTGCCCTCACTACTGTTGGCTTACTAAGTTTTCACTTGAAGTGTCATTTGTTAACCTAAAGGTATGCATATATCTGATTTGGTTGGTTATTTGAAGGTCACTTATGTTCTGGTGATAGATCAACCTGTCTTCATTTTGAACATTACATAAACATTGACAAGGTCCCTCTATACATTTTGCTGAGCTTCTTGCCTCTGGGATAGTACATCAAAATATCATTCTTCTCGCCTCTCAACTATTTTTTTTTTTTTATAGCTCTTGAAATTGAAGTTAATTTTAAAACATGATAAATTTTGTTTGTGATATGGGTAGTGACATTTTTAACTAGAAAGTTTGTGCATAAGTTTATAATCAGTAAATTCTATTCCATATTTAAGTAGGTTTTTCAATTGGCTTAAACGGCAATATGAACAGAAGACTTTTTTTTTATTCCCACTAGGCTGGCCTATTTGACCCATACAGTGATGATCCAAGATTAGGGGTGAAGAAAATGGAGATGTGTCCCTACACTGGAACACTTATTGTTGCTGGTACAGCTGGACAGATTCTTATACTTAATCTGGATGTCAAAGAGAAGGAAATTATTCCAGAGGTAATGGCCACATTTATTTAATTTATATTTTTGACAGCAGTTAATTGCTAATTGAAAAAGATGTATGCCTTCATTTAACTAATAATTAAATGCACAGATTTCATATAAAATAAGGTGTGTGTGTCTACTAGGAATGCCAAATTAAATTAATTTCTTTTATCTTTATATTTGTAGTACAAGCTAGTAAAGTCATTTTACCCATTATTTTTCATATATTGCTTTCAAATATTTGATAAGTTAGTTAATGCACATACAGTAAACAAGTCCTTGCTCTACCAACCTGCTTCACTAGTCATCTCCCGGTTATTATTACATTATTCAGTTTTGTGTATGGCTTCATTTTTGCCTACAAGTACGGATATATCTGGCTTTGTTAGCATGAAGAGGAAATTGAAATTGTGTGAGAAATGTAGCCTTTAATTATGTGTGTTAGTAATAATATTACAATCAGTATAAAAGCATGCTGGTTGAATGGTTGGTCTGTCATGAGAACAGGAAAAGTGTAAAATATGCATTTGGGCCCTGGTGATGTGCATTTAATCAAAGAAAGAAAAGCTCTGTATCAGGCTTGACTCAGAAAAATTACTGAAGGCATTAATTTAAATCTGGTAAGCATGTCCTATTATTTTTTACCTTTATAGTTTAGTTGAGTAGATTTAAGTAAAGAGCATTCAGTTTTGTAAATATGTACCTGTAACACAACGTCTTTCATAAATGTAGCTCCAGCTCTTCTTATTTACTGTAGTTTTACTGTAGCTAGTTTTAAACTGCTGGTAAGTAATATTACAGCATATTTACATTTCCTTAATGAAAAAGGGGGGGATTTGGGGAGCTCTAGAATATTTTTATGTATAAGTTCTTAACAAATGTAATTCACAGTCGGCTAATACATGGTAGGCCCAGGAACCTAACACTGAATCAACAGGTGTGTAATGTATGTTTCCATATTTTTTTTTATTACAATATATATTCCTTACCCATTATACAGTGCTTCTGTGTTTTTTAATTTCTGCATTCTTGTCAGATATCCTATGTCTGCTGGAAGTCCATGATACATTCTTTTACTATTAATGTTATTGGAAATAGTGTGTTTCATTCAAAAGGAAAAGAACATGCTTTCTGTGAAAGAGTATTACAGAATTTTTAAAGCTCAACCTTATTAAGATTAATATTTTTCTATTCCTTAACAGTGTGTAAATGTAAATCTGGTTGCTGAAAATGACAGTTTTGTTTGGAAGAGCCACAATAAACTTGAGATGAAAACTCAACCAGTCAAATTTGAACCAGGCATGCAGGTAAGGAAAATTAAAATTTTTAATACAATAGTTCTGTAATAATTATTTTGTTAGCTGAATTTGAGTCCTGGAGATGGGAAGTACAGTATCAACCCCTAAATGAGTGAGAATGTTACAGTTTGGAGGGTAATTTGAATTATGTCTACACACTTTTGGCAAGTTGGCTATTGAATGATGATGATTGTTTCCTCTTTTTTTTTTGGCTACATTCAGAGACTTTCATTCATGCCTTTTTTGTGCACCATTATCACACATGTATATCCTTGAACAAGCTGCACTAGATAAGCTTGGCCCAAGGGCAGGCTGCAAGAGTAAGAGAACTCTTGAACTCCTTCAACTAGTCACAGGTTAGCTCACATTGCATAGAAATGTCTGTTAATATTATTTTTGAAAAAATCTTTCTTAATAGATCTCAGAATATATATCTTCCAAATAAAAAATTTGTAGGAATTAGACATTTTAAAAACCCATAAAAATGTCTGGGGTTTGTAGGGGAGCCTTACCTGTCTTCTGGAATATTGACAAAAATCAAATATTTTTGCAACTTTGAGCTCAGTTTCAAGCTACATCCAGTCCTGAAGCCAATCAATTTCAAATCTGTTTCAATAGTATGTCTTCCGTTCTGTCAAATGGTACTAGGAAACAGCCAACAAAACCATGAAAACCATCCTACAAAACACCTCAGATTCACTAATTTAAACCATAAACATGGTCACTGTTTTGCACCATGTAGGGCAGGATTTTTTTTATACTGTGCACACTCCCCACACACCCATTTTCTCATCTAGGCCAAAATTTACTGCTCACAGCTTATGTGAGCTGAGCTCACATAAGCTGTAGAGCTACATCAGGGACTGGCCTCAGTGACGTAGTTCTATGTGATGGACAGTGGAAGGGTTAAGGACGAGTTTATTTGAATGAGGGGCAAATGATGTGTTTAGTGGAGAAGAAAAAAAAGATGTCAACTGCACCACATGCTTTGGCAGAACTGAAGGTAAAGGCACCCAGAAAACAGCTGCTTTGGCAGCAGCTGCCAAGAGACTTGCCAATACATCTTTTCCTGTTTTATTAGGCAGCTACTTAACACTGTCTTACTTTTCCTTGCTTAGCAAGGTGTGAGGTTTAGAAGATGGTTTGGAGAGAGATCATTGAGGCAAAGGAACATGGAGAGCAAATGGACTTAGCAATTAAAAATTAAAGAGGGAAGATGTTAGATAAGGTGGTGGAGGTAGTGGAAAGATGAGAACATTTTGACTAAGTTGTTGAATGTTGATGATGAAGGGGAGACAATAATTTCATGCATGGGGCACAGAGTGATAACATTGTTGGGGGGGGGGGAGGAACCTTGATGTTGGGAAAGTGCAGGAGGCACTGGGTAGAATAAAAGCAGGTAAAGTGGCTGGAATAAATAACATTAAGGTACAGAGATATGTTAAAAGCAGGTGGGGGATGTAGTGTTGGAGTAGTTGGTGTCTTTGCTCAATATATGCATGAATGAAGGAAGGTAAAAAAGGATTGGCAGAGAACGTGCAGAGGTTTTTTGTGTAAGGGGAGGGGGAAGGAGCAAGGGAGAATGTAAAAGTTTTAGAGGGTAACCCTGTTGAGTATACCAAGTAAAGTTTGTGGCAGAATTATTATTGAAAATGCTATGGGCAAGATAGGGAGTAGCATTGCAGAGGAGCAAGGGGAATTTAGGAAGGGTAGGGGATATGTAGACCATATGTTTACATTGAAGCTTAAGTGATCAGTAAAGAGCTATTTGTTACATTTTTGGATATAGAAAAGGCATAGGATAGGGAAGCCATGTGGCAGATGTTGCAAATGTGTGGAATAAATGGTAGGTCACAAAAAGAAGTTAGAAGCTTTTGTCCAGAGTGAGGCTTGGGTTAGGGTATGCAGAAGGCAGGGGACTGTCATGCAGTGAAAGTAAGAGTTAGACAATGATGTGTGATGTCATCATGGTTGTTTAACATGTTTATAGTTGGGTTGTAAAAGAAGTGAATGCTAGGGTGATGGGATGGGTGTGGGATCAAAAGATGTTGGCCTTGATACAGAGTGGGGGGTTTCTCAGTTGCGCTTTTCTGATGACACAGTTCTTTTGAGGGATTCCGAAGACAAGTTTCGAAGGTTGTTGGACCAATTTGTGAGGGCATATAAAAGAAGGAAATTAAGAGTGAACATGGAAAAGAAGCAAGGTGATGAGGGACATTTTGTCAGCATAGTTGCTGATCCTCCTTTACATGTGTTGTATAGCTTAGTTGTACCATAGTACCATCCATGCGTTTATATAGAAGATCCTTAGGTCTAGTGACTATGACGTCACGGGATGCTCATGAGTTAGTGGGACGCTCTGCCTCGCTCTCACTCCACGCTTAGACGCACAGCAAGCAGTAATACGGCAGGCTGGGCCCTTCTCTTACCACAGTCTGACAATATAGTGTTACCATCCACAAGTGTGTTTGTCTTCAACCATCATATCTCCTTCCGAACCCCTACGACAATTTAACCTAATGATAGATTGAATGTCAGATTGGAAGGAGTATAGTGAATGTGCTGTATTTAGATATTTGGGAGTGGACATGTCAGTAGATAAGTCTTTAATAGGTCATAGATAAAGTAAACCATGGAATAGATGGGGGGGGGAAGTTTGTATTGAAGCATCAGTGGAAAGAAGCAGGTTTATCTGTGGAGCCAAAAAGAGAATGTACCAGAGAATAATGGTACCAATACTTTTATAGGGGTGTGAGGTATGGATTTTGAACACTACAGTGAGGAGGCTAGAAGCAGCGGAGATGTCATGCCACAGATCATGCAGAGAATTTGGAAGGTAGACATTAAAAGGAGATGTGGAGTTGCCAAGGGTACTATTTAGAGGGTTGATCGGGGTTCTTGAGGGTGTTTGGGCATGTAGAGAGGATGATGACAAATAAGATGACAAAGAAGGTATATAAATCTTGGGTGGTAGGATGAAAACTTAAAATTTTATGGTGTGTTGAAGTTGGAGAAAAAATGATCATTCTTTGGCAACAAAGGAATAGATGCACCAATGATGTTTACATTTTACAAGTTATTGATGCCAAGATATGAGTGTTTTTCTGGTTTTTAATTGCTTTTAATGTTTAACACTATGTACAACTAGTTTCTTATGATGTTAGATGTGTTTAAAGGTGTTTTAGCACTTCAAACATGGGAAATGCTTAGCCCGACATTGCTTCACTTGGAATACGTGGTATATGTACGGTGTATAATTGTTTATTACATATTCTGATTTTTACTATTCTGGTCTTTTAAGACCATGTACAAGGAATACTTATAATATTACAATTGTTTCAGTGTTATACTCTTCAGAATATGGAAATAATTCACATTGACTTTACTGGGTTATTCAGGGTTAAATATGCTTAGTGTGCTTTGTGGTTGAATTCCACTGTTGGTATTGTGAAATCGTAATGAATGTGGAATGAATGAGTCATCTTCGTGTCATTTCTGCACCCTGTTTGCTGGTAGGGAAGCTGGTGGAGGAACAACAGCTCCTGATTTTATTGTTTACTTTTACTAGTTAGGCATATTAGTACATAAGACACACATTCATCACCCAAGTAGTTAACCATGATACACTGTATGGATCCTCTTGGCCTTAGATGTTTTTTTTTTTCAAATGTATGAATGGATTGAAGAAGACCCAAAGAGTTGTGCCGAGGTCAAAAATATTGACAGATGGCAGATTTAAAGGTACAAAAAATTGTTCATACTAATACGTTAAGATACGTAGACAGCATTTATGCACTAATACAGTTTAGGGGTTAATGGCAAAGCTGTTGGAATGTGAGCAAGGTAACTTTTATGAAGGGATTCAGGGAAAATTGGTTAGCCAGAGAATTGGAGGTGAGAATGACAATACGTGCACTTTTAAGAAAGGGTGGGGATGTTGCAGTCAGAGGGTAATTGGAAAAGTAATGTTAGCACACTTTTGGAATGACAGCAGTCAAATGAAAGATGGTGAACGTGTTTTTTTTCTGGTCATCCTAGGATGTCTTGATAGGAGACAGCCATTGAGGTAAAAAAAAGACATAATAGTTTTTTTTTTTTTCCAGATTCTGAAATTTTGATTGCAGTTTTTCAAAATCTCACTGTGATATTGTGTTTCAAGAGGGTTTACTGTACTTCTAATATCCTTGTGGCTTAATTTCACATGTAATTTCTAGCTATATTCCCTTGTTCTTATTGTAACCTTTTCTAAGTTGTAAGAAATAAATATTTTTTTCAGTTGGGACAACTTTTGAAATAATAAGTGATATTTGCATTTGCTCTTAGTTTTTAAAGACTCAGTCAGAAGGATATTGGTTGACTTATATTATTATTTGTATTAATCTGCAATTTTTATGCAAACTTTGGTGTGAAAGAACTTAAAAATATTCCTTTAGAAAATTTTGCCTTGTATTTACCATTTATTTGAATTAATGTCAGAGAACTTAGACACATTATTATATTAATCTTAAGTCTAAGGTAAAACCCACTTATTTACACAGCCAACAGTTGTGGTACAGTTCTACCCTCCTGCATCATGCACTTCACTTACTCTTCATAGTGAATGGGGACTAGTGGCATGTGGCACTGCTCATGGATTTGGTCTCTTTGATATTGTGCAAAAAAAAAATCTACTCGCCAAAAGTACCTTAAGTCCCTTGGGTAAGTAATAATTGTCTTACTGTAACTAGTCTAGATGGTGATGTGAGGCCTTCAGAATGCTCCTAAATCTTGTTTTTTGTCAGGAATAAGGGCAAGAATATTGAGGAAGTAGAATTTATTTTTGACTCATTGAGAGTCTACCTTATTCCCTGTTTTAGTAATTAAGGTATTTTTGTTAGTGTATAGGTGAATTGTAGCCTTAATAACTCAAATGCGGTCAATGGGTCTTAATCCAAACAGGCTTCAGTATTTTGATAAATGGCATGAGGGAAAAGTTTGGACAGCATAAGCAGAAAAAGTATTTTTTTTTTTTTTTTTTTTCTCAACAAGTCGGTCGTCTCCCACCGAGGCAGGGTGACCCAAAAAAAAAGAAAGAAAATCCCCAAAAAGAAAATACTTTCATCATCATTCAACACTTTCACCACACTCACACATTATCACTGCTTTTGCAGAGGTGCTCAGAATACAACAGTTTAGAAGCATATACGTATAGAGATACACAACATATCCCTCCAAACTGCCAATATCCCAAACCCCTCCTTTAAAGTGCAGGCATTGTACTTCCCATTTCCAGGACTCAAGTCCGACTATATGAAAATAACCGGTTTCCCTGAATCCCTTCACTAAATATTACCCTGCTCACACTCCAACAGATCGTCAGGTCCCAAGTATCATTCGTCTCCATTCACTCCTATCTAACACGCTCATGCACGCTTGCTGGAAGTCCAAGCCCCTCACCCACAAAACCTCCTTTACCCCCTCTTTCCAACCCTTTCGAGGATGACCCCTACCCCTCTTTCCTTCCCCTATAGATTTATATACTTTCCATGTCATTCTACTTTGATCCATTCTCTCTAAATGACCAAACCACCTCAACAACCCCTCTTCTGCCCTCTGACTAATGCTTTTATTAACTCCACACCTTCTCCTAATTTCCACACTCCGAATTTTCTGCATAATATTTACACCACACATTGCCCTTAGACAGGACATCTCCACTGCCTCCAACCGTCTCCTCGCTGCTGCATTTACCACCCAAGCTTCACATCCATATAAGAGTGTTGGTACTACTATACTTTCATACATTCCCTACTTTGCCTCCATAGATAACGTTTTTTGACTCCACATATACCTCAACGCACCACTCACCTTTTTTCCCTCATCAATTCTATGATTAAACTCATCCTTCATAAATCCATCCGCCGACACGTCAACTCCCAAGTATCTGAAAACATTCACTTCTTCCATACTCCTCCTCCCCAATTTGATATCCAATTTTTCTTTATCTAAATCATTTGATACCCTCATCACCTTACTCTTTTCTATGTTCACTTTCAACTTTCTACCTTTACACACATTCTCAAACTCATCCACTAACCTTTGCAATTTTTCTTTAGAATCTCCCATAAGCACAGTATCATCAGCAAAAAGTAACTGTGTCAATTCCCATTTTGAATTTGATTCCCCATAATTTAATCCCACCCCTCTCCCGAACACCCTAGCATTTACTTCTTTTACAACCCCATCTATAAATATATTAAACAACCATGGTGACATTACACATCCCTGTCTAAGACCTACTTTTACCGGGAAGTATTCTCCCTCTCTTCTACACACCCTAACCTGAGCCTCACTATCCTCATAAAAGCTCTTTACAGCATTTAGTAACTTACCACCTATTCCATATACTTGCAACATCTGCCACATTGCTCCTCTATCCACTCTATCATATGCCTTTTCTAAATCCATAAATGCAATAAAAACTTCCCTACCTTTATCTAAATACTGTTCACATATATGCTTCAATGTAAACACTTGATCTACACATCCCCTACCCACTCTGAAGCCTCCTTGCTCGTCCGCAATTCTACATTCTGTCTTACCTCTAATTCTTTCAATTATAACCCTACCGTATACTTTTCCTGGTATACTCAGTAAACTTATTCCTCTATAATTTTTACAATCTCTTTTGTCCCCTTTCCCTTTATATAAAGGGACTATACATGCTCTCCGCCAATCCCTAGGTACCTTCCCCTCTTTCATACATTTATTAAACAAAAGTACCAACCACTCCAACACTATATCCCCCCCCGCTTTTAACATTTCTGTCATGATCCCATCAGTTCCAGCTGCTTTACCCCCTTTCATTCTACGTAATGCCTCACGTACCTCCACCACACTTACATTCTGCTCTTCTTCACTCCTAAAAGATGGTATACCTCCCTGGCCAGTGCATGAAATTACCGCCTCCCTTCTTCCTTAACATTTAAAAGTTCCTCAAAATATTCTCTCCATCTACCTAATACCTCCCTCCCCATCTACTAACTCCCCTACTCTGTTTTTAACTGACAAATCCATACTTTCCCTAGGCTTTCTTAACTTGTTTAACTCACTCCAAAATTTTTTCTTATTTTCATTAAAATTTCTTGACAGTGCCTCTCCCACTCTTTCATCTGCTCTCCTTTTGCACTCTCTCACCACTCTCTTCACCTTTCTTTTACTCTCCATATACTCTGCTCTTCTTATAACACTTCTGCTTTGTAAAAACCTCTCGTAAGATACCTTTTTCTCTTTTATCACACCCTTTACTTCATCATTCCACCAATCACTCCTCTTTCCTCCTGCCCCCACCCTCCTATAACCACAAACTTCTGCCCCACATTCTAATACTGCATTTTTAAAACTATTCCAACCCTCTTCAACCCCCCCACTACTCATCTTTGCACTAGCCCACCTTTCTGCCAATAGTCGCTTATATCTCGCCCGAACTTCCTCCTCCCTTAGTTTATACACTTTCACCTCCCTCTTACTTGTTGTTGCCACCTTCCTCTTTTCCCATCTACCTCTTACTCTAACTGTAGCTACAACTAAATAATGATCCGATATATCAGTTGCTCCTCTATAAATATGTACATCCTGGATTAATAATCTGAATATCAGAGATATTTATAATCCAGTGTTATATCTAACCCTTAAACGGTCCATACATACGCCCTTACGCGTAGCGCCCGAAATGTATATGTACATTTTAATTTTCCTGCCTCCAAATTTGGCGCAATGAATGGGTCTGAACACTCAGTGTGCACCATATTAAAAAAAGCTGGGACCACTTAGTACTTTGTGTAAGTGCCAGTTAAACTGAGCGCCAGCTAGAGCAAACAGTGCGGCAAGCACCGAGGATTCACTGATGTAATGTCATATTAACACTCCTCTTTTAAGAGAAAAGTGATGTTAACCCCAAGTTTAGGGTCTGTCTATCTCTGTATCTCTGTCTATCTTTGTCTCTGTCTGTCTTTGTCTATCTGTCTCTGTCTATCTCTTTCAGTCTGTCTCTGTCTCACAGGTACACATAAATACAAGTATACATAGTGTAAATTACCTAGGATAACCCAAAAAATCCAGACAAAGTGCTATACTCTGCTTGACGGTGTGAATAAACGTGATGGCACAGTCTTGTGGCTCTCTCTGAAACAGAGAGGTAGACGGATAGACAGACAGAGAGCTTGACAGACAGACAGACATGTTTATGTACCAACAAAAACAAAGCCAGGGCAATGCTCTTCAAATGTCGCCTCTAATCTTTTCTTATCAAGTGTTATCACTGCACCCTCGCATATGCTCATCAAACATCAGCTCTTATCAAATGTTATCTCATCTTATTGTGTTACTGTCAGGGGTGGACTTTGTTTTTCATGCTTCAAGGGAACTTATTATTTTTTTTTTTTTTCAACAAGTCGGCCATCTCCCACTGAGGCAGGGTGACCCAAAAAGAAAGAAAATCCCCAAAAAGAAAATACTTTCATCATCATTCAACACTTTCACCTCACTCACACATAATCACTGTTTTTGCAGAAGTGCTCAGAACACAACAGTTTAGAAGCATATACGTATAAAGATACACAACATATCCCTCCAAACTGCTAATATTCCAAAACCCCTCCTTTAGAGTGCAGGCATTGTACTTCCCATTTCCAGGACTCGAGTCCGGCTATATAAAAATAACTGGTTTCCCTGAATCCCTTCACTAAATATTACCCTGCTCACACTCCAACAGATCGTCAGGTCCCAAATACCATTCGTCTCCATTCACTCCTATCGAGCACGCTCATGCACGCCTGCTGGAAGTCCAGGCCCCTCGCCCACAAAACCTCCCTTACCCCTTCCTTCCAACCTTTTCGAGGACGACCCCTACCCTGCCTTCCTTCTCCTACAGATTTAAATGCTCTCCATGTCATTCTACTTTGATCCATTCTCTCTAAATGACCAAACCACCTCAACAACCCCTCTTCAGCACTAATACTTTTATTAACTCCACACCTTCTCCTAATTTCCACACTCCGAATTTTCTGCATAATATTTACACCACACATTGCCCTTAGACAGGACATCTCCACTGCCTCCAACCGCCTCCTCGCTGCTGCATTCACAACCCAAGCTTCACACCCATATAAGAGTGTTGGTACTACTATACTTTCATACATTCCCTTCTTTGCCTCCATAGATAACGTTTTTTTGACTCCACATATACCTGAACGCAATACTCACCTTTTTTCCTTCATCAATTCTATGATTAACCTCATCCTTCATAAATCCATCTGCCGACATGTCAACTCCCAAGTATCTGAAAACATTCACTTCTTCCATACTCCTCCCCAATTTGATATCCAATTTTTCTTTATCTAAATCATTTGATACCCTCATCACCTTACTCTTTTCTATGTTCACTTTCAACTTTCTACCTTTACACACACTCCCAAACTCATCCACTAACCTTTGCAATTTTTCTTTAGAATCTCCCATAAGCACAGTATCATCAGCAAAAAGTAACTGTGTCAATTCCCATTTTGTATTTGATTCTCCATAATTTAATCCCACCCCTCTCCCAAACACCCTAGCATTTACTTCTTTTACAACCCAATCTATAAATATATTAAACAACCATGGTGACATTACACATCCCTGTCTAAGACCTACTTTTACCGGGAAGTAGTCTCCCTCTCTTCTACACACCCTAACCTGAGCCTCACTATCCTCATGAAAACTCTTTACAGCATTTAGTAACTTACCACTTACCAACTTATTATTACCTATTATTATTATTACGTATTATTTTTCTTCTCCTTCTCCTCTTCCTCCTCCTTCTCTTCCTTCTCCTTCTCTTCCTCCTCCTCCTTCTCCTCCTCTTCCTCTCCTCCCTCCTCTTCTTCTCCTTCTTCTCCTTCTTCATCTCCATCTTCTCCTCCTGCTGCGGCTGCTGCTGCTGCTGCTGCTGCTGCTGCTGCTGCTGCTGCTGCTGCTGCTGCTGCTGCTGCTGGTGCTGCTGCTGCTGCTGGTGCTGGTGGTGCTGGTGGTGCTGGTGCTGCTGGTGCTGGTGGTGCTGGTGGTGCTGGTGCTGCTGGTGCTGGTGCTGCTGGTGCTGGTGCTGCTGCTGCTGCTGCTGCTGCAAAAACATTGCTGAGACATATAAATGTTTTGTATATATTCTTCTGCTGCGCTGCTGCTTCTTCTGCTGCTGCTTCTGCTGCTTCTTCTTCTGCTGCTTCTGCTTCTTCTGCTGCTTCTTCTGCTTCTTCTTCTAATTTTTGCTTCTGCTTCTTCTTCTGCTGCTGCTTCTTCTTCTGCTTCTTCTTCTGCTTCTTCTTCTGCTTCTTCTTCTGCTTCTTCTTCTTCTGCTTCTTCTGCTGCTTCTTCTTCTTCTAATTTTTGCTTCTGCTTCTTCTTCTGCTTCTTCTTCTGCTTCTTCTTCTTCTGCTTCTTCTTCTGCTTCTTCTTCTGCTTCTTCTTCTTCTGCTTCTTCTGCTTCTGCTTCTTCTGCTTCTCCTCCAAAACTTTGCTGAGACATATAAATGTTTTGTATATATTCCAAGACAATAAATGGCCAAGGCAGGTGTTAATGCCCACCTGTCAAAATGTTTGTGACAATTTGAGTACAATTTCAGTACCTAATACTAGTGTCAGAACAAAGAATGGTTATGAAATGACAATAGCTACTATAAATTGTAATTATCAGAACATAAAAATTATGTAAAATACAGCAATATGAAAATTAGAAAAAAAAAAAGGTATATCGGCAACATTTCTGCAAGTGGCAGGACTCCATGTTGCCGTCACGTGAGCCTCCAGTGCCAACTTCTCGGCCTCACATCTCTGTAAGTACTGACCCTAATATTTCTTTTATTCTAAAACACTTAAAAAAATGTGCTTTTTTTTTTCTATAATTTTTTTTTTGTTAAATATTCGCTGCGCAGGTGAACGTACATATACGTTTGGACCGTTTAAGGGTTAATGAAGGCTACAAGAGTAAGATTGGTGCATTTTCTTCCTTATAAAGTCCTTGTACCATTGCATATAGATATACAGTGGACTCTCGGCTAACGATATTAATTCGTTCCTGCGAGCTCATCATTAGATGAAATTATCATTAGCTGAATTAATTTTCCCCATAAGAAATAATGGAAATCAAATTAATTGGTTCCTGACACCCCAGAGTATGAAAAAAAAAATTTGCCACATAAAATTTACATTTTCCTACACACATAAAGAAGACGACATGCACAATTACTACTGTACTAAATAAAGAATACATGACACCTATCTTTATTGAAGATCTGGTGATGATTGATGGGATGGGAGGAGGGGAGATGGTGGAAGTTGTTATTGTTTGGAAGGAGAATCCCCTTCCATGAGGACTTGAGGTAGCAAGTCCTTTTCCGGGGTTACTTCCCTTCTTATTTTAACGCCACTAGGACCAGCTTGAGAGTCACTGGACCTTTGTCGCACAACAGATCTGTCCATAGAGCTCTGTACCTCGCGTTCCTTTAAGATTTTCCTAAAATGGGCCACAACTTTGTCATTGTACAGGTTGCCAACACGGCTTGCAATAGCTGTGTCAGGGTGATTTTCACCCATAAAGGTTTGCAATTCAACCCACTTTGTACACATTTCCTTAATCTTTGAAGTAGGCAACTTCTTCAATATCTCTCTTCCCTCCTCTGAAGCAGTTTCCTCAGGTGTGGCTTCTTGCTGTTGCAGATGCTCTTGCAGCTCATCAGTGGTTAGTTCTTCATTGTCCTCCTCCACCAACTATTCCACATCCTCCCCACTAACCTCCAACCCCAAGGACTTCCCCAATGCCACAGTAGATTCCACAACTGGCATAGGCTTCTCAGGGTTAGCCCCAAACCCTTCAAATCCCTCTCTTCTACACATTCTGGCCACAGTTTCCTCCAAACAGAGTTCAAGGTCCTCTTAGTCACTCCCTCCCAAGCCTTACCTATAAGGTTTACACAACTGAGGATACTAAAGTGATCTTTCCAAAACTCTCTTTGGGTCAGTCGAGTGTCTGAGATCACTTCAGAGCACTCTTGAAACATAGCTTTTGTGTAGAATTTTTTGAAGTTTGAAATGACCTGCTGGTCCATGGACTGCAGGAGAGGGGTGGTATTAGGAGGCAAAAGCTTCACTTTGATATAGCTCATGTCCCCAGAAATTTGCTCTGCCAAGTCTGAAGGATAACCAGGAGCATTGTCTAATACCAGGAAGCACTTAAGGTCCAATTTATTTTCCAGGAGGTAATTTTTCACTGGGGGCAAACACTACTGTTTGCCCTCCACATCACACACAAATTAGCCTTGGCGACATTGTTTTTCCTGAACACTCTGGGAGTTTCAGAGTGATACACCAATAAAGGCTTCACTTTGTAATCGCCACTAGCATTACCATACAACAAAAGAGTAAGCCTGTCTTTCATAGGCTTATGTCCTGGGAGTGCCTTTTCCTCGTGAGTATTGTAGGTCCTGTTCAGCATTTTCTTCCAAAACGGGCCTGTTTCGTCACAATTAAACACTTGTTGGGGTTTCAATCCTTCAGCCTCTATGTACTCCTTGAATTACTGAATTCTTGAATTCTTTTTGGGTCACCCTGCCTTGGTGGGATACGGCCGGTGTGTTGAAAGAAAGAAAGAAAGATTTTTCAGCTGCTTTTTGGTCTGAACTGGCAGCCTCACCATGCCTTATCACACTATGTATGCCACTACGATATTTAAATCTCTCAAACCAACCTTTGCTGGCCTTAAATTCACTCACATCACCACAAGTTGCAGGCATTTTTTAATTAAATCATCATGCAACTTCCTACCCTTTTCACATATGATCGCTTGAGAGATGCTGTCTCCTGCTATCTGTTTTTCATTTATCCACACCAGTAACAGTCTCTCAACATCTTCGAGTACTTGCGATCTCTGTTTTGAAAACAAACTTGCACCTTTTGCAAGAACAGCTTCCTTGATTGCCGTTTTGTTGGCCAAGATAGTATCGATGGTTGATTGGGGTTTGGTATACAACCTGGCCGGCTCCGAGACACACACTCCACTTTCGTACTTTGCAATTATCTCTTTCTTCATTTCCATACTAATTCTCACCCTTTTTACCACAGGGTTGGCACTAGAAGTTTTCTTGGGGCCCATAGTGACTTATTTTGCAGTTACAAGCACTAAAAACACTGGGATAATGTGAAATGTACCGAATGTATGTGTAGATGCGACCACACTGGCTGGCTTGTAAACACTGGCACCCATGGGGCAGCTGAGGCGCGCTCAGGCCAAACATGGACGGGTCCCGGACAAATTATGTTGTGCGAGTTTTTTATCGTTAGGCGCGCCAAAATTTTTACGCTCGAACGCTTTGTTAGGCGGATTTAACGTTATGCAATGCGTTCATTAGCCGAGGGGTCCACTGGAGTAAGTAACTGTGGAGTGCTGAGGACACTTATGTGTATGAACTATTGTACATTTATATTATTTAGACAACTATAATGGAGTGCTCAACTTTATACACACTTGTATGAGTACCACTACCAATTTTTCCTGTGGGTGTGGAAAACAAGCATGTTGATAGTCTTGTACTCTAGCATGATTGCTGGTTTTTTCTTTCTAGCTTGTGAACACAAAATGAAAGTACATCTTACAATTTTACACTTAGTATACATTTATCTTTACTTTCCTGTGTGTTTCTGTTCACTACAGTACTCATTTGTGTATTATTTCCTTTATAAATTAGGTGGTCTTATGTAGAATCAGGCTGGGAAAGGGTTCTGTAATTCCAAGAACCAGTAATACATGTAATAGACTTATTGATACTCTATTCCTAATGCCATCAAACAATATATTATAGTTATCTACTCTTGCACTTCTTTCTCAGCTGCAGCTGCTCCTTTTAAATATTCTACATGGTTATAAACTTGTGCATTTTTACAGACCTTGCCAATGCTGCTGATGAAGGCCCCATGTCTCGAAGAAAGTCACTAAAGAAGTCTTTACGAGAGTCATTTAGACGTTTACGTCGTGGCAGATCTCAGCGTAAAACTGGAAGACCAGGGGCTGCATCACCTACAGGTTCACATCCTTCGAGGTAAGTGTGGAGTTTTTTATGAAAATGCATTGTACAATTTATAAAATTTAAGTGTGTTTGCCTAAGTTTATTAAGAGATGAAGACAGCTAGTATAACATTGTATAGTATTTGTTGTGAAATGAATTCCCGTTTCTGGATATGTATGCAGACAACATGAGGATGGACTAGCCTTTTATCAAAAATTTTGAAAATTAAAAAAAAAATGCTGCCTAAGATACAGTATGCATTTTGTTTTTATCAGTGATATGAATTTATGGCCAGTCACTTTACTTAGATTAATGAGCAAGGCCTGTCAATGCATCAAGGTGTATTGTGCAGTGAAGCATGTATCTGAATGTGGGTAAAATTAGAGAAATGCAATATTCCAGCTCCAGTGTTAAAACAGTTGGCATGATTTTTGCATATTTTATATTTTGCCACCCACTCTGCACCTTGTTGCATTATTTTCAGTTAATGATTTGTCATTTATATATTGTACCATTATTTATTTAGGTATACTTATTAAGAATACTTCGTTTTTGTATTTTCAGTAAATATTGAGTTTTGGGATGTTTTTCTCGCGGTTGCTGTGTTGGGTAACCAATTTTCTATTTATCAGTGATCTATTCTGTGCACCAGAGTAAAAATGAATAAGCACCAAAAGCAGGCAAAACAAGACCCCAGTTGCAAACTGGATAGAGGTGAAGAATACTGTGTTTTTCCTTACAAATAGTGGTGGGACACTGAAATGGGATCAAAGAAGCAGAAGTAAGTGCTGTAACCATTAGGAATTTGAAAAACAAAAAATTCCAACAAGTCAGCCGTCTCCCACCAAGGCAGGGTGACCCAAAAAGGAAGAAAATCCCCAGAAGAAAATACTTTCATCATCATTCAACACTTTCACCTCGCTTGTACATAATCACTGTTTTTGCAGAGGCGCCCAGATACAACAATTTAGAAGCATATATAAAGGAGGGGGGTTTGGGATATTAGCAATTTGGAGAAGTGTGTAATAGGACAGTATATATATATAATTGGGGCCCTGATATTGTATTCTATATGGATGTTTATTATATTATTTCAGGTCACTTTTTGTATTGTATCTTTATATATGCTTCTAAATTTTTGTATCTGGCAACTCTGCAAAAAGTGATTATGCATCAGTGAGGTGAAAGTGTTGAATGATGATGAAAGTATTTTCTTTTTGGGTCACCCTGCCTAGGTGAGAGATGGCCAACTTGTTGAAAACAAAAGAAATATAACATCCCTCCAAACTGCCAATGTCCCAAACCCCTCCTTGAAAGTGCAGGCATTGTACTTCCCATTTCCAGTACTCAAGTCCGGCTATATAAAAATAGCTGGTTTCCCTGAATCCCATCACTAAATATTACCCTGCTCACACTCTAACAGCTTGTCAGGTCCCAAAAACCATTTGTCTCCATTCACTCCTATCTAACATGCTCATGCATGCTTGCTGGAAGTCCAGGCTCCTACCCCACAAAACCTCCTTTACCCCTCCCTCCAACCTTTTCGAGGACGCCCCCTACCCCGCCTTCCTTCCCCTACAGATTTATACGTTCATGTCATTCTACTTCGACCCATTCTCTCTAAATGACCAAACCATCTCATCAACCCCTCTTCAGCCCTGTGACTAATACTTTTATTAACTCCACACTAAATTTCCACACATAATATTTACACCACACATTGTCCTTTAACAGGACATTTCCACTGCCTCCAACCGCCTCCTTGCTGCAGCATTTACAGCCCAAGCTTCACACTCATATAAAAGAGTTCGTACCACTATACTTTCATACATTCCCTTCTTTGCCTCCATAGATAACATTTTTTGTCTCCACATACCTCAGTGTGCCACTCACCTTTTTTATTTCATCAATTCTATGGTTAACCTCATCCTTCATAAACCCATCCGCTGACATGTTAACTCCCAAATATCTGAAAACATTCACTTCTTCCATACTTCCTCTCTCCAATTTGATATCCAATTTTTCTTTATCTAAATCATTTGATATCCTCATCACCTTACTCTTAACTATGTTCACTTTCAACTTTCTACCTTTACACACCCTCCCAAACTCGTCCACTAACCTTTGCAACTTTTCTTTAGAATCTCGCATAAGCACAGTATCATCAGCAAAAAGTAACTGAGTCAACTCCCATTTTGTATTTGATTCCCCATAATTTAATACCACCCCTCTCCCCAGCACCCTAGCATTTACTTCTTTACAACCCCATCTTTCTTTCAACATACCAGCCGTATCCTACTGAGGTGGGGTGGCCCAAAAGGAAGAACAAAAGTTTCTCCTTTTAAATTTAGTAATATATACAGGAGAAGGGGTTACTAGCCCCTTACTCCCGGCATTTAGTCGCCTTTTATGACACGCATGGCTTACGGAGGAAGAATTCTGTTCCACTTCCCCAAGGATACAACCCCATCTACAAATATATTAAACAACCATGGTGACATAACACATCCCTGTCTAAGACCTACTTTTACCAGGAAATAATCTCCCTGTTTTCTACACACCCTAACCTGAGCCTCACTATCCTCATAAAAAAACTTTACAGCATTTAGTAACTTACTACCTATTCTATATACTTGCAACATCTGCCACATTGCTCCCCAATGCACTCTGTCATATGCCTTTTCTAAATCCATAAATGCAGTGAAAACTTCCCTACCTTTATCTAAATACTGTTCACATATATTCCTCAATGTAAGGACTGACTCGGACAGTTGTGGCTAACTGTTTTATTTTTCAACCGATTTCTTTTATTTTTGGTGTATGTTTAGAGGTGCATATGTAGAAGAATGTGACAAAGTTTCAGTATGTTTAGCCAACAAACAACAGAGAAAAAAAATATTTACTGACTTTTGATATATGGCAGCATGACCTGACAAATTGTCACTATGAGTGGCACTTTCGATGATCCCAAGTGTTAGAATACGTCTAACATGACTTTTAAATGCTTCCATTTCATCTAATATATCTTATTATCATGGTAAAAAAAATACATTTGATAGACTTTTTGGCATTCACCAAAATATCTGCCTTTTACCCCCCACAAAATAAAAAATATTTGAGATGTTCCAAAAAAAATGGGCATTTACTAGTCAAACACACTTTGTTTTATATTGTCTGTGAAAATCATTTCAATACAATCATTAATAATGGCGAAGTAAAGCGAAATAAGTGAATAAGTTACTTCCGAGATATTGGCCTGGAACGCTGGCTGGCCCGCTGTCTCGAATTTTTTTTTTTTTTCGAAAATCGCATTTGTTTCGGTGGTTTTCTTAGTAAACTCATGTTCTAGTGCAGTTATCCTCTTCAAAACACAGTTTTCTATCACTGAAGACCAAAGAATACGACATGGAGATGAGTAACTCATTTACATCGAAATATTGCTGGTGGACTCTCGCCACATTATGGCCTATTTTATTCAGTCTAGAGTATATAACATGTTTGTATGTTATTTATAGTATTTATTATATCATATTAGATCAATTCTGATAGATAAATAAGCCATAGAGTTGATATAAAGCGTAATAATGAAGTGATTTCACCTGGCTATCTCTGGAGCGGGAATACTGCCGGTGTTAACAGGTGCTTCCTGATTGACTAGAAGTCTACTGATAAGCTCCGCCTACTCTTATATGATGCCAAATAGTCAATTATTATATTAGAAAGAATAATGCAAGAAAAGTGATAAAAAACAAGGAAAAAATTCCAAAAAATATACGGGCTGACAGCAGATGCGCTACCCACATTGCCGTCACCATACCTGATGTAAATGACTATAATTTCTTGTAGATATGTCGTAGAACGTTGATTATTGTACCATTGTGTTGCCAAAGAGTGGAGCTATTTTTCTATACGAATAACTCAATTTCCATAATTTTTCGATGTTTTTTTTTCCAAAGCGCGCGAAATTGTCTGAGTCTGTCCTTTTTTTAAACACCTGATCTACACATCCCCTACCCACTCTAAAGCCTCCTTGCTCATCCAAAATCCTACTCTTTGTGTTACCTCTAATTCTTTCAATAATAACCCTACTGTACACTTTTCCTGGTATACTCAGTAAACTTATTCCCCAATAATTTTTACAATCTCTCTTGTCCCCCTTCCCTTTATATAAAGGAACTATACAAGCTCTCTCCCAATCTCTAGGTACCTTCCCCTCTTTCATACATTTCTTTCTTTCAACACACCGGCCGTATCCCACCAAGGCGGGGTGGCCCAAAAGGAAAAACGAAAGCTTCTCCTTTTACATTTAGTAATATATACAGGAGAAGGGGTTACTAGCCCCTTGCTCCTGGCATTTTAGTCGCCTCTTATGACACGCATGGCTTACAGAGGAGGAATTCTGTTCCACTTCCCCATGTAGGTAAGAGGAAATAGACAAGAAGAACTAGAAAGAAAATAGAAGAAAACCCAGAGGGGTTTGTATATATATATAGGTGTTCTGAGCACCTCTGCAAAAACAGTGATTATGTGTGAGTGAGGTGAAAGTGTTGAATGATGATGAAAGTATTTTCTTTTTGGGGATTTTTTCTTTTTTTTTTGGGTCACTCTGCCTCGGTGGGAGACGGCCAACTTGTTAAAAAAAAAAAATATATATATGTGCAGTGTGACCTAAGTGTAAGTAGAAGTAGCAAGACGTACCTGAAATCTTGCATGTTTATGAAACGGAAAAAAGGACACCAGCAAACGTACCATCATGTAAAACAATTACAGGCTTTTGTTGTACACTCACTGGGCAGGATGGTAGTACCTTCCTGGGCAGTTGCTGTTTGCCAACCTACTACCTAGGTTTCATACATTTATTAAACAAAAATACCAATCACTCCAACACTATATCCACCCTTGCTTTTAACATTTCTGTCATGATCCCATCAGTTCCAGCTGCTTTACCCCCTTTCATTCTACGTAATGCCTCACGCGTCTCCTCCACATTCACATCTCCTTCACTCCTAAAAGATGTTATACCTCCCTGACTA